TAAACAAAAATATTCCGTTTATCTGTCCTATCCAGTATCATATTTCTTTGATAAACGCGACACATGGCTGTATGATGGTGCAACATGTGTGGTCCATGCGTTCATGAGTTCGGCGACGTTTTAAAACTATATTTTGTTTAGCCTATTCTGTTTTGTGGTTTTTATATAGTTCGCGGTTATGTGGTTTTTTAAACTGTTAAACATTAAAATTGTTTTCGTTGTACGGTAAAAGTGATAATATATATTTAATTTTAGTCACCTTCTTTCTTGTGCTACTTTGTTTTGCGATATTAATGACAAAAAGAATAATTTCGAAGGTTTTTTGATTTCGATTTTCACTAACTTTTTGTTGACGACATACATCCCATCATGATGATGATGATGACGGGATTTGTATGATATTTTTTCATTCAGATTTTTAATAAATATCAACACACCCTTTTTGTATTTTGGCCTAAAGTCCTTGTTATTTTCAATTCGCAAAAAATATTTTATTATATTATTACATTGAATTAATGGCATACCTTTTGTAATATTTATATAATATCTTTTAGAAGATAATAGAGCATAGTGGATGATAAGTTTAATTTTAGTGTGCATTCGAAAGCAATTATTGGTTATTAGCTCAATCATCATCATCATCAGCCTATTAATGTCCCCACTGCTGGGGCACAGGCCTTCCCTATGGATGGAATAGGGAGATTGGGCCATGACCCACCACGCGGGCCCATTGCGGATTGGTGGGTGCTAACGACTGCAGATGCAGCCGGGACCAACGGCTTAACGTGCCTTCCACCACCACTTGCGCCATCGAGCTCCTAATAGCTCAATATTTGACCATAATTCAAATATTTCGGTGTTAATCGAGACATCAAGATATATTTTACACCAAATTAACATTAAATTTCCTAGGCACGAAGCTTTTAAGTTTTGTTGTATTTAATTTGAAACACACTTTGAAATTTCAAAACTTCGTAAAGGTCATAGTTTAGGGACAATGGGCAAAACACACCCAGCTCCGCCAACAATGTAATTAGTATGGATCCATAGATCTATGAGAAACTAGCCTTTTTTATTTTCGGTGTCATAACACTGTAAAAAATATCCTGGTACTCAATAGATATGACACATGGGCATATTTAAGTAGCTGAATAAATTCATTTTATAGTATCTTCATTTTATATTATTAGTAATCATAATAATATGCTATATCGTACTATACAACCAGATATACGACAAAGCCTGCCGACCATCCTGCACTTGCTCTTACTGAGACATTTCAAAACGGTTTACGGATGATGAAAAACTTGCAGTTGCAAATAGTCGACTTGTCTTACTTCGGTTTGATTGTGCGCTCCCTGCTACTTGATTGATTTTTATCTAACTCGCTTTGGATATTAGAACACGATTATCGGTTTTGACAATTAGTATGGATGAACTGGAATCATGTGTTCTCCGAAGCGTGGATAAGTTTGTGTAATCTATGGTCGCTCCGTTTTACATAGAAAACAATTTACTATAACGAACAGAATGTTTAAAAAAAACCCAACCCATGCGGGGATGTTTGGATTTACTCTAGCGCGGCAGAATAACATAAGGGGGCACCCTTGCACCTTGTGAAGTACTCCCATAATTCCTGAGCACCCTATGTATAGTCGAACTAACCAAATTAATTCCTTTGTTTCATTAATGTTCGTTCATTATAGTACTTGTTCACATTTAACTTAAAATAACTAAAGACCCCCGGGATGGAATTTGATGCACTTTGGCACAGATGATCTTGACTATAATACCTTTCAAACAAATGTAGTTTAAGCCTTGGCGGACGTGTGTGCAGCGTCCATACATTTTTGCCCAATGTCCTTTACCCAAAAATGATATAAGTAAATTTTGTACTTTGTAATATTAGGTAAACTATCCATTTTTGTCACTGTGTAATTAAGATTAATTATAAAAAATACAAGAAAGTTTCAATAATCTACACGGACATTCACACGGATGCCTTCCTTAGAAATACAACCGTTTAAAACCACTCTTAAATCTTTGCCGTTTTTATCTATAGCCTGGGTCCCGAATCTGGGGTAATTACCCCTCCGGGGGTAAATCAGCCATACTTCGGGGGTAACAAAGAACCTAATTATTTGGTCAAATCTAAATAATACTACTAAATAGAGCATGCGCTCCTACTTGCTAGTGAGCCCGCGGGGTGCTGAGTGTGGGAAGCGGGGGGAGTTTCTCTCCTGATGATGACATTATTAGAGACGAAGATGTAGCGACCAAATTGGAATTTTTTGGACTGATGATAACATTTTAAAGTCGGGGTAAAATCTGTTTTCCTAATAGGTTACAGGGGTAGCAGTATTGGAAAGGTTAGGAAACACTGATCTATCTTAATATATATAAATCTCGTGTCACAATGTTTGTCCTCAATGGACTCCTAAACCACTGAACCGATTATAATAAAATTCGCACACCATGTGCAGTTCGATCCAACTTGAGAGATAGGATAGTTTAAATCTCAAATTATAGTCGCAATTTTAATTTATTGCAAATTATTACTTTTGGGCGGTACGAAGTTCGCCGAGTCAGCTAGTAGTGTATAATAAAATTATATATTTCGATATCTTTATGAACATACTTATACAAACATGCTCACTCAAAACTTCCATTCATAGATTACGATTATTTAAAATGAAATAAATAAATAGAATCTGATTCCCGCGGATTATTTACCCTATTTTTAGTGTCTACATACGCAGGGCGAGGCGAAGGAGTATTGTAGGAATTTATCTATATTTAGGCGTGCCCCTTCAGAAGCAATGACATTAGGTACTACCACAGATGCAGACTAGACATATTTGAGAGGCTAAAACGAAAATAGCTTGTCACAAAGGGAATACTCAAGTTGAAATACAAATTGCCGCTCGAGTTCTCGCATTTTTCTCATTATCAAAGACTTACATTATTTTTATTTATTTATTTATACTTAATGCACAAGTGTACAAAGGCGGAATTAATGCCATAGGCATTCTCTACCAGGCAACCATAGAGTGTAGTGGATAAATTGTGGTAGGGTGCACAACTTACATGGAAATTACAGAAAGACGAACATATATAAATATGAAGCAGTCATATATATAATCACACATACATAAATAATTACTTACATATAAATAACTATACATATATATACATACATATATAAATACTAGCTGACCCAGCGAACTTCGTACCGCCATAAAAAATAGGGGTTGGTGGTAGAAAGTTGAAAATTTAGGGATGTATGTATTTTTGTATGATGTATCATAAAAAAATAAAAAAAAAATACCTAAAATTGAAAAAAAAAATTAGGTGTGGATTACCCTTAACATTTAGGGGGATGAAAAATAGATGTTGTCCGAATCTCAGACCTACCCAATATGCACATAAAATTTCATGAGAATCGGAAAAGCCGTTTCGGAGGAGTTTAACCACAAACACCGCGACACGAGAATTTTATATATTAGATACATACTAATACATAATAATGACGACTAACGTTTAAGCTAGACTGCTTGTTCCTGTCAAAAGTTTCGTAACTTGGTTTTGAAGCTAATTTAGTTGGTGGACATTCTAATATCTAGGGGGAGTTCGTTCCACCGAAGCATAGTTTTTTTATTTAGTTTGTCCCTAGCAACTTAAATAAGTTTAAATCTAAAGAAAAGGTTACTAGAAAAAAAAATCCACGCGGACCAGGCAGCGGACGGGACTCGAACCCGCATCCTTCGCAATCCGGGCGAATGCACTGACCATTATGCTACCATTTCGCTTCATTTGACATTGTAAGGTAACCCTACAATGCGAAGAGATGGCGCTGCCTTGCAGCTTAAGGCTAGGAAAATTTCGACGCGGCGACTAGGGCCGTGGTAGCATAATGGTCAGTGCATTCGCCCGGATTGCGAAGGATGCGGGTTCGAGTTCCGTCCGCTGCCTGGTCCGCGTGGATTTTTTTCTAGTAACCTTTTCTTTAGATTTAAACATCTAGCAGTTAAATGCTTAAAAAAATAAAAACATAACTTAAATAAGTATTATTTGGCTGTAGACTTCTCATTAGAGAAAACTTCATCATGTTGGCCGCTTCAATTTATATATATGTATATGTCTCTCGCTATGTAAAGAGATAGGGGCTTAATGATTTTCCATTCCAATTGGAGCTCCCGTCCGTGGATTTCCCAGTAGCGAGCCCCTTTTTCTGCTGAAGTATAGAGGATACTTCAGCAGAACATGGGCGCTTGTCTCTTACACCCTCAGGCTCTGCATAGAGCCTTTTTCTTCCCCACCCTAAGGTTCAGTTTGTGTGGAGTCCAGTACCGCTACCATGAGTTTACAGCGATACCACTCGCTAGCGACGACTTAATAAAATGTATAGACCATAGGGTATTTGACTAGTTTCAGAAATCGATCTCACGTTATTGACTAATGTTTATGGAGTCCGTAAAAAGTGGATATTCATCATTCTGTTGTGTATTTCAGTAAAAATAACCAAATCAAAAACTCCATTTTCAAGTTGGCGCGAAAACGTTTTTCTGGACAATATTATGGCGTCTTACTAGTGTGTGACGTCACACGACTGTTATTAAAACCTCAAACGATACAATGTAATATGACTTTAACCGGAAGTTTACTTGCGTGTGACGTCATTTTAGGCTCTGCCAATCCCAAGCGTTTTGGGTCACGTGACAGTAGATAAGAAAACTATTATCGTTTTCATGAGTTTTTAGTAAAATATGGTATCTTTTTTTTGTAAAAATAGTAAAATCCTTTGCCAATATTTATTCTAAACACAGATGCTAACAATTGGCACTTTATTTTTAATACTGTCAAATACTCTATTACACAGCGCCCCTAGCGGGCATTTACAGAACTACTATTATTGGTACTATATGTTCAGTTGTGAAGACAGCCGATAAGGCCGGGAAATTAATAATTTAATTCAGAATTCCGTTTTTCTTCTGTTACAGATACCGTAATGAAACAAAGCAACCAATGATCCACGGACAGATGTTTAAGAAACGAACGAGAACCCGCCAATATGCTTTTTAAGACAAAATGGCGGGCAACAGACGCGATGCGTTCATAGCGGTCCGCGGGCGAGTTAACGGTAACGCGAGGTTGTCGACAAAATGGACGCCGGAAGTTGTGTGCCTCCTTGCCCTGTTGGCCGGTTGCCATTGTTACCAGGAGCAGAGGTTTGCCATGGAGCCACAGGATCAGGTGGGTTTTTATTACTACACTTTTATTACACACCAGCTGACCCGGTGAACTAAGTACAGCCATCTGAAGAAAAAGGCATTTGCAACACATTTGCTCAAAAAATGCATTTATGGAGGTTGTTTACATTGCTCGTAAGCTCAAAATTACAGGCCATACAACAGAGCGTGCGGTAAAACGTTTTACCGCACGCTCTCATGCATGGCGCCGTGCGTATCATTTACAGTTTTTTTTTTATTTCAGCCGAACTTCCTTTTTTTAAAATTTAATATTTAAAAGAAACATGTGGAATATTTTTTAGTATAATTTTCTTTACATTTTTAAATCTAGCAGTAACTGAAATGTTTTTAGTTAATATACTCAAAAAAACTTCGAAATGCCATATTTTTTCGTGATTATTCTTAAAACTAGCAAACCAGTGAACCAAGTGTTCACCAAAAAAAAAAAAAGTATTTAATTAATTGAGAACTTCGGAGATTTTGTGTGGTTTCGTTTGAAATAGAAATCACGTGATTTCTCGAAAACCGGAAGTGCTACGTTACTCACATCCGGTTTGTAGTCTTATCAGACTATTCTTAACTTATAACTTAAACATTCTTTATATCTATCTCTTACGGTTTGGCCGCTGAAACAGCACCACGGACGGACGGACGGACTTGTCTAATAGATAAGAGATTCCTGAAAGATTCCTTTTACTATTTATGCCCGCTGTCAATGTCTTGTCAATATAATATTGAAATTCACGCACTCACTTTTCATATTATGAGATTATTATTATTATTTTCTTTACTGAAGTCTAAAGTTCTTAAGTCAAATTAGTACCTAGTCGGTGTCGATGCAATGCCAACCCGAAAAACTCAGATCTGTCAGACATTGCATTTTTTTATTGTGTATGCTGTATGCTGTTGGTCGCAGATAACCTTAACAGCGTCACCGGGTTTGGGGACGGCGAGATCCTAAAGGGACCTCAAGCCGAGAATTGGCGAATGCCTGTAGAGGTATTCCAGACGGATGGCATCTCCCCACGGGGGGAGTTTCCTCTCCGTCTGGAGCCTCTAGACCACTCGAACCTGAGGGGGCAGCTCAACTAGAGGGCGTCTCTGAGACTCGGACCTCGGCTCTAATTATCCGTTGTCGTGGGGGGATCAGACATTCATGGCACTGACTCCAAATATTAATTTCTTTTTATAGGTACTTTAGACTTGATTAAATAAAATATATTATTATGTAAGGTACCTGATACAAATAAGGCCAATTTTTTTTTTATATGATTAGGTAGGCAAATGACTCTACCCCACCTGATGTTAAGTGGTGATAAAGTCCAAACGCGAAGATAGCTGGTACAGCAGTTATAAACTGCCACACCAACCATCCTCACCTTGCCGGCCCGCAAAAATGCTTCTTCACGCCTCTCTTAAAGGAACCCAGATTATAGGAAGGAGGGAACACGTGCGCGGGCATAGAATTCCACTTACGAATAGTACGACAAAGAAATGAGTCGCCAAATTTCTTTGTTCGTGTAGGAATAGTGGCCACAGTAAGTCGGTGGCAACGTAGGCCAGCGCGCGTGGTCCTCTGAAGAAAAGGTAATGGAGGGATAAGCGAGAATAGCTCCTCAGAACACTCGCCGTGGTATAGTCGGTCGAATGCGCTTAATGATGCCACATCACGGCGTAATGCCTATGCTGAAATAAGGCCTGTAGTGCAGAAAAGTCTATTTAAATATGTTTAAATACTTTACTCATAGCGTCAGTAGTGGCGTCAGTAATGTTAGCAAATGATAGAGTGAGCAAGTACTAATTAGAAAATAATTTGAAATCAAAGTATTCAATTTTCAATATTTAATATAGGTACTTGCCCTCCGTGTGACAAACCCGTGGGACGCCCTGTATATGGGTCAGAGTTGTTGATAATAATGTTTGTACAAATATTCGATTGAATTTCTGTTAGTATACTTAATAAATATGTACAAGTGGCCACCCGCGACTTCGCCCGCGTTAACTTTAAATTTTTTGTGAATCCCACAGGAACCTAACAATTTTCGGGGATAAAAAGTATCCTATATCTCAATAAGTATCCTATGCGTTAATCCAGGGTGCCATCTAATTCCATACCAAATTTTATTTAAATCGCTCCAGCCGTTTAGACGTGAAAAAGTAACAAACATACACACTCACAAACTTTCGCCTTTATAATAAATTTGTGTGGTGACCAGGATACATTTTTATCCTGAAAAATATCCCTTATAAACCGCGGATAACACCGCGGGGCACCTGTCTAAATTCAGACGTTTTAAATCATTCAGTAACTAATTCAGTTGTGGCGGCGACATCTATATGCCCCACAGATATACAACGGATATAACAAATCATTACTCACCATCCTCAAGAGATGGCGTTACCTGCACTGCGATCAATATTAGTATGGAAGCTTACATCGCGCAAATGAAATTCGGCGGCTAACTCTTCATATATACGAAGCCCGACTAATATCAGTCGGGCCGCGGCCTCCGATCTAACATCACACCAGCTCGGAGGAAGATCTTCCCCTTTGGCTTTCCTACACAGTCAAGTGTAATAACATTTAGGAAGTTAGGATCCTAATTAGCATCCTAAATCGGAAGTAGTGTGGCTTCTGACTGACTAAATCATTTAGTGTCCTAATTAGAACGCGATTTAGGAAGGTGAAATAGAGTTTAGTTGCTTCAGTCGCACCCCAGGTGTTACTGCGTGAGGATGTGTTGTGTCTACGGTTACGAATTACGCGAGTGTGCGATGTCGGCGGTAAAAGAAAAATAAAATAAATAAATATTTCCAACACTCACACCAATTAGCCTAGCCCCAAAGTAAGCACTGTAAGGCTTGTGTTATGGGATGCTAGGTTAACGGATATAATACATATACTTTACATATATAAGTATATTTATATAGAAATACATATTAAACATCCATGACTGGAGCACAAATGCTCGTATTCACTACACAAACATCTGCCCCCACCGGGATTCGAACCTGGGACCTCGACGACACCATGAAACCCGGCGTACAAACCACTCGGCCACGGAGGTCGTCAAAAAGAAGTTATGAGTAACATAATCGAATTGTATAAACATATGACTTATCTTTGGAACAAAAATAATAAAAAAAAACATTAATAATATTAATATTCTTTCACCCACTTTTTTAACTTTATTTTATTTTTATTGAGTCAACGGCCAGGCTTACGAGAAGAACGATTTTTGTTGCTTTGACAGGACTGGAGCCATTACGAAAAATCCGACTGAATTTGCCGCGCGCTTGTAACTGACTGAATCAGTAACTAAATTAGTCAAGTGTAATCAGAAGCTTTAATTAGCCTTCTTTTTAGGATCCTAACTAGGACATCTGAATTTAGTCAGGTGGAATAAGCGCTATAGCTAGTAAAATACACTCCCAGACACATCTATCGGCCCACCTAAGTTTCATCGGTCAATAGCAAAAATATATGTTAGGCTGAGCAATAATAATGTATTTGAAAAAAAAAAACACGTAATAAAATAAATAAATAAATAATAAATAAATATTTCCAACACACACACCAATTAGCCTAGCCCCAAAGTAAGCACTATAAGGCTTGTGTTATGGGATGCTAGGGTAACGGATAGAATACATAAACTTTACATATATAAGTATATTTTTATAGAAAATACATATTAAACATCCATGACTGGAGTTCAAATGCTCGTATTCATCACACAAACATCTGCCCCCGCCGGGACTCGAACCCGGGACCTCTCGAGTCGGCAACACCATGAAACCCGGCGTACAAACCACTCGACCACGGAGGTCGTAATATATGGTTTATAAATCAGCTTCAAAACTGCGTAAAAACTTTTTGCTTAATGTAACTTTAATATTTGCTAGAGCCCGTCAAATCAAAACTTAAAATGCTAGGTGGGCAAATAGATGTGTCTGGGAGTATATAATAAAATGTACAAAATCCGTTCAGTTGTTTTCGCGTGATTGAGTAACGAACAATCATACCATTACATTTATTTTCACATATCACACACATTTTGCGGCTACATCTAAGCGCCATTAGCAACAATCTAAAATAATCGCCAAAATCACAAACAAGATCTATAAATACCAATCTTTAATCTCGAATTTTATTAGTATTAGACGCTGGCTAATTAGCTATATATTTTATGATTACCGGTTGTTAATTACCTTTGAAATTTAATTAGGTATTTTATTTGAAACGGATGAATAGGAGAGAATGTTAGATTAAGAATTTTTCGTTTAAACAATATAAGTTTTGTCGCTCCTGATTAAATATTAGATTTGAATTTATTATAAACCAAAATATCTAAAACTAACAAGGTTTGCATTGCAAATAGATATTACGTCAAGTGTTTAATACTTGTAAAAGTATACTTTTGACATTGTGGGTTACCTACAATGCGAAGAGATGGCGCTGCCTTGCAGCTTAAGAATGGCTAGAAGAATTTCGACGTGGCCATCAGGGCCGCGGTAGGATAATTGGTCAGAGCATTCGCCCGGATAGCGAAGGGTGCGGGTTCGAGCCCCGTCTGCTGCCTGGTCCGCGTGGAATTTTATCTAATTATATTTTCTTTAGATTTAAATATCAAGCAGTTACATGCTTAAAAAATAAAAATTATGAGTATAATTGCTATTTCTTCTTTCAAATGTTTAATACTTGTAAAAGTATTCATTTGACATTGTGGGTTACCTACAATGCGAAGAGATGGCGCTGCCTTGCAGCTTAAGAATGGCTAGAAGAATTTCGACGCGGCCATCAGGGCCGCGGTAGCATAATTAGTGCATTCGCCTGGATAGCGAAGGGTGCGAGTTCGAGTCCCGTCTGCTGCCTGGTCCGTGTAGAAATTTTTCTAGTTATATTTTCTTTAGATTTAAACATTAAGCAGTTACATGCTTAAAAAATAGATATTAACCAAAAAAACACTAAAACTAGTTTTATTTAATGAGTGATGTGCGTGAAAA